GGCCTTCGGGTCGGTTTATAACTGAAACGAGTTGCATATCGGAGTACATTGCATGAGCATGCGTATGGCGTGCGCGTGACCAGTGTGCGCGCGTATGTGCCGTGAACATTATTATAAATGCCTAACCTGCAGGGTCATTGTTTGAGAGATCTGGGCCATGGGCCTAGGTCAATTATTGTAATGTTTATGGTACACTATTATGTGTGTTTTAATTCGCCTGTCAGGAGATGCATGTTAGCCTAGTTTGGGTTTAGGGATTTCTACTTGCTGAGATTCGTCTCACAGTTGTTGAAAATCGATATTTCAGACCCCCGGTAGTGAGGATGGCAGAGCCGCTTGTGCGTTTTGGGATTCCCCACTTCATCGAGAAGACTTTTTCCGTACATCCCGTAGGGGACGGGAATATGTACATTAGATACTATACCTTAGTATGGGTAGATGTTGGGGAGTTAGTATCTGAGACCCACGAATATGTTGCGTGGCGATATAGAACGTTTAATGGGGAAGAGATAGGACCCCTCCGATCTTTTGATATCCCGTTTAACGGGAAGGGTGAGATTGATCCCCAGTGCCCAGATGGAGACATAGTAGACCCCGATACCTCAGACGAGGAGAGCATGAGCTCCGATGGTGTTCCTGTGGAGTACGAAGTCGATGAGGTTGAGCCGATGGATATGGAGCCGGATGAGGATGAGCTGGAGCAGCCGATGGAGGAGGATCCCGAGCCCGAGGCAATGGACGCAAAGGACGAGCCCGAGGAGGCTGAGTCCGAGTTAGACTCGTTGGATTCTGATGAGGAGCTACCAGACAGTTCTTCTTCGTCGGAGTCTTCTGATTCTGACCCGGACTGGGTCCCCTAGGTTGACCTTAGCCCTAGATGGAGCGGCTGCACCTTTTTTACTGAAGCCGTTTTAGCTCAGTAACCTTTGGCCACTGACCCTTTTTGACCTTAGTGGCTGTTGTTTGTTTTTTGTGGTAGTTTGTACTTCCCGTAAATGGATATTGTATCTACTTTTAATAGTAATCAAATGTATATGTTTTAATCATAACGATCTTTCGTGTTGTGCTATCCTTGGTTATCTTATTTATTGTACGGGTGTATATATATATATTTATATACGTCGCTTTCGCATGTGTATTGATTCTCTGAGAGTTGGGTGTTGGGTTGGCGACGCGTCCTGGGACGTCGCAACAAATTCGACCTACGTTGGGATGCTCGCGCTTCATGAGGTGCGGGGCGTGACAAAATCTATGGCCGACAAATCTTAGATCATCAAGGCCGGCTTGGTCTAAACAAGTGCCAAGCTCATCGAAGGTAGGGATCCAAGAATTGGAGCTGCCTAATCTATCGGAGTGGCTTCTGATGGCGTTAAAATCACCAGCAACAATCCAAGGCTCACCGGCAAACTGGAGGCTTGACTGAATAAGATCAGACCAAAGTGCACGTCTAGCCATAAAGGTGTGCTCCCCATATATCACCGAGATATGGCAAGACAAGTTCAATGACAGTAGATGCATACGCCCATGAATGGCTTGAGAGGAATTAGAGAGGACAACAAAATCCACTTGTGAAGGGTTCCAACCCACCCAAATTCGTCCACGAGGGGAGAACATGTAGTTAGAGGACCAACACCAACCCGGTAACAACCCAGAGGAAATATTGTCAAAAAGAAACGGGTTGACTTTAGTCTCGAGTATACCAATAAAAGAAAGATTGTTAGATATAACTAAGGACCTAATCTCCGCTTGTTTGAGGGGGGTTCATGAGAACCCTTATATTCCAAACACCAAAAAACATATGTACAGGAGAGAAAGGAGTTACCTCCTTTTTGTGCTTTTTGTGCCACCCCGTTTTCTAGATTTCAGGAGAGGCACCTTGGTCGTCACAGGGGAAGTGTCAGGACACTCGGTTTGAGGTTTGCAACCTTGGTGCACCGAGGATCTCAATCTAGCAGTCGTCGGGCAGGGGAGGGAGAGAGCTCCTCCGGGTCGCTGCCAATATTACTGACTAATTCAATTTCAGGAGTATCCGAATCAGAACTATCCTCAGGGGAGGCCCGAGAAATCAAGCCTGGATCAGGGAGATACTGTATAACCGCAGAAGTAGCCATAATCTTGGGGGCGTGAGAGGAAGATGCCAAGGCAGGGGTGGGCATATGAGCAGCACCCAACTCTGTTGTAGAGGAAGAAGCCAAAACAGGAGTGCGAGTATTTCTCTTGCCGACTATCTCCCATATGTCTTCCCCAGAGGGAGGGGCATCTGCAGCAGCAGCTACTTGAGTTGTAAGCTTCTGAGTGACAGCATGAACTTCACTAGGTGGAGTACATCTGTGGCCAAAAGTTCCACAAGCAAGACATGAGACCGGTCGCCATTCATAGTCGACCTTGATCGACCAGGTTTCATCGTTCCAAATGACATCAACTGAATCAAGCAATGATTGAGTAGCTTTGACCTCGATGCAAACCCTGGCATATGAGATCATCCTCATTTTTTCAGTTTGAATATCCACATGTTGCGGCTTGCCGATTACGCTAGCAACCGCACTGATGCCCGAGGCTGACCACAGCGCATGAGGAATGTGCCTTAACTTAACCCACACGGGTAGCGACTGATGTTGGTCCTTAACCAATCTCAAAGCTGGATGCCATTGCTGGAGTATTAATGGCACCCTAAGGATAGTGAGCGGGCCTCCATTCATAATTTTCGGCCGAAACGAGGTGTCGAGGATATGAAAGAAATAGAAACCATCGACATTGGCTAGGACATCGACCACTTGAGTCTCCCAAAGATTCTTGACTGCATTTTCCGTCATCTTGAAAGGTAATTTCTTACCTACGAAATAGCCAACGAGGCACTCCTTCCATTTCGGGTTGATGTCTTCAAGGATTTCCTCTGACATTCAGGCGACTGGTTTACCATCCTTCATGGATGGTGGAATATAGGAGAGGTTAAAACCTTTCTCAGCAGATCTTGCAACAGCTGCCCAGGATCTCTGGGTTGGCACCGGCAGAGGTTCACGAGGTGTTGGCTTGGCAGATGGTTCCCCTTTACTGTGGTGACGCCTATCCACAGATCGATCATTTACATGCGGGTGTTGGGTTACCCGACCAACATCAGAGTCAATAGAAGGCATCTTGGAAGAGTTTCTTCTTCGACTATGACCACGACTTCTATGGCGCGGACCTTGTACAGCCGGTGACTTATTAGAGGATGCACTAGCATTTTTAACCCCAATCAAGGGGGTTTGCTTTGCGGGGACCACAGGCGCGGGTCGCGGGTCAACTTCAGAAGGACCAACATTAACACCAGAGGGGTGTTTGGATGGTACCTTAGGTAGCTTGTTCGCCAAATCCGAAGGGGGCTTCGGTAAGGAAGGGTCCGCAGAGATGGTGACTTTTTCAGCCATGGAAACCAACACTAAAGAACTTTCATGGGAGGTCAATAGTTCGACCTTGGAGGTCAGAAATCACCAATTCGAACAATCCTACTCCCGTAATTCGGGATTCCAGCAGAAACCAGAAGAAACCCAGGGAGAATCCAGATCTATCCGCAAAACCACTTGAGAAAACCAAACAGATATCCTAACGGTAAGAGGATAGGATACTTACCGGTAGTTCCAGGGTCCAAGTTCCGAAGAAACAACGGACGGATCAACCAGGGTCACCAGAAAACCAGCGGGTGAATAGTGGTGCGAACTCCAGAAAACCAAGACAAAGAAACCCAGATCTGCTTGTAGGTCCCGATCAAGGCACCACTCATGGATTCCTTTGAGTATGACCTAGAGTAGAACTAGGTGAAGTAGGACACCAAATTTCAGAGGGATTGAGCCGCCGGATTACCCAGAATCGCAGCACAACCGGCCGGGTGAACAGGGATACGAACTCCAGAAACAAGAGAGAAACTTGGGAGCCTGTAGTGAACAGTACCCGAGAATTGTGAAAAGTTATCTAAACTAGTTTTTTGATCACAAATAACCCTAAACTAGTACATTTGTGATAAATTTACCCTCCGTTAGTTTCGATTAATTTGGATTAATGCCACAAAAAACTGCAAACTTATACACTTGTGACAAACAAAGGGTACAACTCCAAACTGGTATACCCGTCAACTGCCACGTGTTATTCAACTCAACAATTTGACAGTAAAAGTTAACGGAACTAACAGAAGGTAAATTTATCACAGGTGTACTGGTTTGGGATTAATTTGTCACAAGTTTACCAGTTTGGAGTTTTTCGTAGTATTAACCTTATTTTTTATTAACATATTTTTGACACTTACCAACACTAGTTGAGATTTATTAGCACGAAATAAAAATCCATGTATTTGGGAGGGGGTAATCGAAATAGTTCACATGGGAAAAGTCGTGGGAACGTCAATATGTTCCATCCGTTCAATCTTTCATTTGCTCTTACTTCCCCGGAATCAAGGAATTAAAAAAAAACAATTATGCAAAGTCACAATACCGGATTTTAGTTAATTATTAGACGGACACCACTTTTGCTTACTTGATCTTCATGGTTACGTGCCCGTGCCTCATGGGTGAGGATGATACTTTGGTATTGAAAATCCAAGGGAGGGTGTTCAGTGTTATACTTTGCAAAAGTAGAGAAATTATACTTCCCAAAAGTAGAAGTAGAGAAAAAGACCATAAAAAGAGATGGGAATCCAAAGTTGTTCACACGTAAAGAATCGACTTAGGCACATTGCATCAAAGTGCAAGGCAAGCCAACTTTGCCTCCCATGCTGACCAAATTTCCTCCACGTATAGGCCCATATGATCATAATTGGATTTACTTCCCTTAATTAACTCCAAATTATCATTTAATTAGTTGTGACGTCCACGCAAAAAAAAAATGAAAACATAGTTTTAGGGTCGTCAAATCTTTTTGATGCGATGTAGTTAAAAAGAATTTATTTTTTTAGCAATCACCTAAGACCAATTAGAACTAGTTTAATCCGCGTTGTGGGCTTCGAAGAAGCTGTTCTTAGCGAAAATTTCGTTATTTTGAGCTAGAGGTGGGATCCACTTGAACAGTAGTTCCTTCTTTATCAAGCTAAAAGGAAATTTCTGGCTTTATTTGTGTTTATAAATTGACCCACTTGGAAGCGTTTGGAGTACAGCACTGTCAAGCAAAGCCAAGCCAAGCCAAGGGTAGACTCTCTTTCCTGTGTTTGTATTCTCTTCCTCTGCTTATTTCACTTGTCCCATTCTCTATCCTTCTCCTCTTTCTTCCATCGCAGAATTGAATGTGAGACAGCAACCGTATAGCATGGCAGGATCAATGGATGCGCGGCAGGTGGGATACGGATTCAAACCGACGGATGAGCAACTCGTTGGTCATTTCTTAAAAAAGAAGCTCAAAGGACAAATGGAAGGTAATTGCGCAATTCCCGAGCTATACATCTACAACTGGGAGCCTCCGGATTTATTTTTCCTATACGATGGTAACTTAAATTGAGTTCTTAGAGTTCTCTATTTCCCTATTTTCTTATGGTTTGATGGTAATTTGTAGTTGCCTATAAGACTTTAGTGAAATAACAGCTAAACAATCTTTGGTTGTAGTGTTTTCAAGTGAATCATCAGATGAACCCGAGTGTTTCTTCCTTTGTCCCCGTGGTCGTCAGAGGAAGACCCAGTTGGGATTTTGGAAAGAGACGAGTAAAAAGCGTGTTATCCAAGCACCGGACACCGGTAAGCCAATGGGGACCAAGAGGATTTTGGTTTACTATGAAGGTCAACAACCAAAGGGCCGCAGGACTGATGTGGCCATGCATGAATATCACCTAAATTCAGATGTTTCAGATAGTGAAATTTCGGACCCGGTACTCGACTTCTCTACTTTTGCTTCCCCTAATTGAACATCTTTAACATAGTTACAAGTGCAGGTAAAATTGATTTCTTTTCTCTTGATATGTTCCCCATTCAGCTTCTTGAGGTTTCTGGCTTTGTGATTTCATGATTGTGCCATAATTTAAGTGCGATTTACCTTTAACTCCAGCTGTACTTTGAAAATTAGTTTTCGCTAGTCAGAACTTTTCCTGCTGTATTTTGTAGAATTTCATAAGGAAGATCGAGAAACGAAACTTACCAATAATCATTTTAAGTTTTGGTTCCAGTGACTACTGACGGTTAGGGCTGCCAAAAATAGAGTGATTCTGCAGCAACAAAGGGGAAATTTTTTTCCTGAAATTTAAATTACTCCAACTTTGATAAGTGATGCGTGATGTATCTCATGTATAAAATACTTTCGGGCAACAATGGAGTTTCGGTTGCTGTGACCCTGATACTCATCACCAGTATCATTTTGTCTTTGTAGACGCCGTTGGTTCTCTGTCGGATAATAAACAGGAAAGGTAAGAAAGCAAAGTCAGCAACAGCGAGTGCTTCTACCGATTTAAGCGGCCTGAGTAATCCGAATAGTGCACAGGTGATCAAATGTTGCTTTAGGTTGATACAAAGCAACCTATGATCCAGAGATACATCTAACGATACTAAAGTTCGAGTAATTTTTGTTCTTTCTTTTTTCTTTTTTTTTCTTTTTCCGTTCAGGCAACTCCAGGAGTAATTATTGAATCCAACAATCCAACCGACACATTGTATACTGGTTTACCCAACTGGAACATGCCTATTCCTGATCAGCAGCTTCAAATGTGCAACGAGCAACATTTGTCTAATGTTGATAATCGGTATGTTGACGGACATAGCGATGGACGATGTTATATGCCATATTCTTTGAGCGACGGCATGGATCTCACGGATTTCTTGAACTTTGAAGAGAGCACAGGGCAGACTCAAACGTGCAAAGAGCAACATTTCGGAAGTGATGATAATCGCCATGTTGACGGACCTAGCGACGGACATCATTATATGCCATATTCTCCAAGCAACGGTATCAGTCTTGAGGATCTCTCGAACTCCGACAAGAGCAACGATTCGTATGCCAAACTACATCATGCGTAGATTATGCTCTATAGATTAGTTGTTAATCATGATAATGGATTGCCAGTGTTTGGTGGTCCTTTATAGATGTTAATCTCAGCCTAGCTTGTTATATCAGTGATAATGCTATGTACCAACTATGCTTCTCTGAGGATGGGACGTTATATCAATCTTGTATGCTTGTATATTGTAGTATTACTTTTTCATCACATTTGTATATTTATCTCGATATGATCTACTCAACACTAGTCAGGCATCAATATCTATTCGTCAAACCTTTGAGAGGGCTTGCAGTACGAGACTTTCCTCCATTGTTGTAAAATCCCAAGTCCATACTTATGTGACACGTCAAGTGATTTGTAAGTAAAAGACCCTTTCCTCATCAGTGCCTCGATTACTCCAGACGGCAGGTTTCTCAGTCTCTTTCGATTTCTTGCCTCTTACCCTTTCTCGCGGCCTCTCCTCCCTCTTTAATGGCAGTGCCACCCCACCATGACGACATAGGCAAAGTAAGGGAAAATTTTAAATAAAGTTCTAAAGTGAGATTATTTTTTCTTAGCGCCAAAGTGACATTCGAATTCGACTAGCATTTTTTGGAATTTATAAAACGTGTAATTCGTAGGTGTGCTTATAGTAAAATCTCGTCCTAAGGGAAGCGATCGCTCTCGGTTATCGTTTTTAAAATTGAGATTTATTTAGAATCGCTATTTCGATCGAATTTGGCCGTTATTTAGAGCCAGAATTTTGGTGTCAAATTTCTCGGAGTTTCGTGGCCAATTTAATTGGACGGTGTCGATATTATTGTGGCCAGCGTCAATATTGCCCGAGATATGCGAAAAGTGAAATTTTGACCGGGTGCGGATTTGGACAAGTAGACCTCCCTCGTAGTGTGTTTTAGTTATTATCTTTTGGCCTTTTTCCTAATTTATAATTAGGGTATTTCGTGGGCTGTTGGATTATTTTCGGATTTGAACGATGGTCGTCGGATCGCACTCAAGTACGTTTGACTTTCTCTCTCTTCTCTTCTCTCTCTCCTCCCCCACGTCGCCGTTGCCCCACGCCGCTGACTTCCTCCTCCTTCCCCGCTGCCCTCCTCCACGTTGTTGACTCCTCATCTCACGCTGTTGACACCCACGCCCGCTGCTCCCACCATGCCGTTTCTGCCTCTGTTTCGCTGACTTGCTGCTGACTTCTTGCTGCACCTTCACGTGTGCTTTGCTGACCATTGACCCATGCTGCCCCATGCTTTGCTTCACGTGCTTACGTCCATCATTCTTGCTGCCGCTGCTTCTTCTTCTCTTTGTTGCTTCTTCTTCACTTCATGTTGCTGCTGTTTTCTTCTTCATTTTGCTTCTTTGCTTCTTGCTTTTTCTTGCTGCTGCTCACCGAGACCGACCAGCTCCTTGCTCAGCCACCCTCGGCCACCGTGAGTGCCGGCGCTCGCCCGTCCAGCTGCGTGAGCTCGGCTCACCGCCGGAGTTCTTGTTGCCTCTTCTTCTTGGTTTGCTTGCTTAGGATTCCTAGTAAGTGGCTTCCTAACCCTTGACTAGGCTAAGGGGTGACTAATGGACATGTTAGAGATGGTTTAAGGACTGTGGATAGTTGGTTTAGTGGCTGGTTGTGCTTGGTTTGCTTGGTGGTGCTTGTTGGTTAATTTTCGGTAAGGTTGCTGCTGTGTCGCTGGATTTTGCTATTTTTACTGTGACTTGTGTGGGCCGAATTTGAGGAAGTGTTCTTCATGAAGTTTGACATATATTAAATCTGTAATTTTTAGAGATCATTTAGTGCCATTCGTAAGTCCATCTTTTGACCGAAATAAGTCTGCCGGAAACACTGTTCCTCCGACCTTCGGGTCTGTTCGAATTTTTATAAATTTTTCTAGACCTATTTTCAAAATACTTCCTTCACAAAAATTGTTGGAGACATTTTTGGCTATGACATATAAAAATTTCAAATCGTTCTAAGGAGATTTGGTTACTACTTCAAATGCATTTTGGAAGCCGGATGGCCAGTCCGAATGAAATGTTTTATGTCCGACTTTGGATGACAAAAAGAGGTGGTTCTAGACAGAAATGGATCTTGTGTTCTTCATGAAAAATGTTCATCAAGATGTTTTGTATAACATATGCAAATTTCAGAATTTTTGGAGTTGAATTAATATTTATTTCAAAGAAATTTCGGTTGTTGCGCAAACTGCCCAGAATAGCCCGAATGTGTGCAATTCCGGTTTTCTCTCTCTCGGGGACTATTCGATGTTATCGTGGCGTTTGACGGATTTAGTTGACATTGGGCTAATTTACAAAGATAAGAATTGATAATGATTGCTGAGGTGTGTGCATGGTCACGACACGTTCCGTCTAGGCGGGAGTTCTAGACGATGCCGTTGGGTACCCGGCTTGCCGGGGGGTGTTCGATCCCCAACGTTGCCGTCTGGTACCCGGCTTGCCGGGGGGTGTTCGATCCCAGACGATGCCGATCGCGGTGGAGGCCGGATCGATGCTCCTAAGTGGAATGCCGTTGGGTACCCGGCTTGCCGAGGGTGTTCGATCCCCAACGTTGCCGTCGCCGGCGTAGCGGGACGATGCTGGTTACGCGCGGAAGACCGGCGGGAGTTCGGTGGCCCGAGGGGTCGTTAATAATCTGGACATTTATAAACGTGTGCTATGCATTGGAGAATGCCATGATTGAATTTAATGTTGAGCACGTCTGGGTTATTAACCGTGTTATGCATGATTATACCTTGAATTGCGTTGTACAAGCTTGATGAGCAATTGGCCATGTTATGGCGATATTCTAACGTGCAGGGCTTGTGTATGTGCCGAGGCGAGGTAAGGGCGCCTGTGATTGTTATGACATGTTGGATGTTGGTATTGCATGTTTAGAATTGTTCAGGAGGTACGCTTTGGCCTAAGCGAGGCTTAGGTAGTTGCTTATTGAGAAATGTTCTCATGGTTGTATAACCAAACCATTTCGGACCGCGACCGTGATTGATCCGGAGGCATTTGCCAGGATACTACGGGGATTGAGGATAGATCGAGTTACCCCGTCTTTTGAGTGTACCTTTTTGTAGAGGAGTTAAGCTTACCAACCACCCGATCCTTGTTGTTGTACGTGGTTCGTAGATAGTGGCCTCGTAGAAGGCTTGCAAATGTATGTGTTGTAATCGACGTTATGTTTTTAAAAGTGTCTTGTTTATGTGTGTTCTTTGTCTTTCTACTATCCCAATGTTTATATGTTGTACGGAGAGTTCGAGGTTGCTTCCGCATGCATTACCCGTTAGTGTTTCGATTGGGTCGGCGACAAGTCCTGGGCTGTCGCGTACATTACGACCACAAAGGGATGATCGCGCGCTTGTAGGGTTCGGGGCGTGACATAGCCCAAAGTGGATTTTGTATCAAATTAGATTATAAAGTGCCAAACTTAGTCTCAAATAAGATCTGAAGCTCACCGGCTGGCCAAATCTTCGTCGGCCGGCAAGCACATTCAACTCATGCAACACTTTCCAAGCCATGGCCAAGGGCATTTTTGTCCAATAGTATGTTTTTAGTTTCTTTTTCTTTTTCTTTTTCTTTCTTCTTTCTCTCTTTTTATTTTTTTTTCTTTCTTTTACGTTTTCTTCAACTCAAAGAAAACAAAAAAGAAAGAAACCAAGGAAAAAGGAAAAAGGAGAAGAGAAAGTGTCACATGAGTTGTCGATGGAAGGAAGGAGAAAGAAAAATAAAACAAAAGAAAAGAAAAGGCATAAGGACACTAAAAGTGCCGAAAGAAAAGAAAGAAAAAGGAAAAGGAAAAGGAAAAGAAAAGGTGTCACATGAGTCATCGGTGGAAGGAAAAACAAAAAATAAAACGAAAGAAAAGAAAAGAAAAGAAAAGGCATAAGGACACCAGAAGTGCCGAAAGAAAAGAAAGAAAAAGGGAAAGGAAAAGAAAAAGTGTCATATGAGTCGTCGGTGGAAGGAAGGAGAAAGAAAAATAAAACAAACAAAAGAAAAAGCATAAGGATATTAGAAGTGCCAAAAGTTTTATAAAACGCTCACTTTAGTGTCAAATATTTTTGCCAGATCACTTAAGTGACAAATTGGAGGAAAAACAATCACTTAAGTACATCCGATGATAAATACCAATAAAAAATATTACGTGACTTTTATAATAAGGGCGCTTTTAGCAGGTTTTTCAGATTTAATTTGATTAAATATCAAGTTGGAGGTCGCTTCAGCTTCGCAACAATGAGACGGGGACTTCTTTTGGTCGGATTTGCTTTTGTTGTTCATCTGTGGTGTTTCACGATAATTCTCTTTCTAATAACACTGAGCCTCTAGCAAATTATTTCGATTTCAGTTCAAGGTTGAATGGTTGATTTAGGGTTTTGCATTTGGGAATTTCCTGAATGGTTGATTTAGGGTTTATATTTAGGGAAAAACATGTAGACGACATCGTTTAGGGGTATATATGATGATTGGGCACGCCGGCGAGCCACATTGGTCATAGAATTTAATAAAATATGACCACGTTGGATTTCTGGCGACCCATATCGGAGTTGGCACTAAGTGATTTTTTTTTAAGTGGCACTTAAATAATCCGAAAAAAAACTTTTGATACTAAAGTGAGCGCCATATAAAACTTTTGGCACTTCTAATGTCCTTATGCTGAAAGAAACTTAAAAGAAAAAGAGAACAAGGAAGAAATAAATGTTGAGAAAATCACCAATGTGGTGATTGTTGGGAAAATCCCCTATGCTGTTTTGAAGATGACAAAGACAATTAAAGGCTACTAATGTGTGTATTGGTTGAGTAGTGCCAAGTGATATATGCACAAGTCGAAATTCAGATGTTGTCATAAATAGCACAAAAACAATCTGATATGAGGAGTGCTCTGCCACTATCAAGATATTCTGCTGATATTTAAGATGAACAAGATATTGGATAATTAAAGATGTCTACAAGCTGGAAGGATCCTCAGATAAGGTGAACATCTGGAAGGATCTTGATTGAGGATGAACAAGCCGAGAAGAACAGGGATGTTCGTGATGATTTGGAAGTACAAAGATCGGGTGAATAGTTGGATGGACATGGTGATGGTGAACAAGCTTAGAACGTGAATGTTTGGTAAAGCTTGGAAGGACCATGAGAATGAACAGCTTGATAGAGTCGAAATTGCTAATATGTTTGGATAGACCAGAAAGATCAACATCGATATTGGGTGAGAGCAGCTGTC